TCGCCCGCCTCGGCGGCTACCTGGCCCTCGCGGCCGACCCCCAGAACCCGCTGCCCGTGTGGAGCTTGGACAAGGCCAACGTGCTGGCCACCAGCCGCCTGTGGCGCAAGGTCGTGTCCGAGGTCTTTGCCAAGGAGTTTCCCCAGATCAAGCTGGGCCACCAACTGATCGACTCGGCCGCGATGCTCATGGTCAAGAACCCGCGCGCCCTCAACGGCATTGTCATCACCAGCAACCTGTTTGGCGACATTATCAGCGACGAGGCCAGCGTCATCCCCGGCAGCATCGGCCTGCTGCCCAGTGCCAGTCTGGGCGGCATCCCCGACGGCAAGGGCAAGTGCAACGGCATCTACGAGCCCATCCACGGCTCGGCCCCCGACATCTCCGGCAAGGGCATTGTCAACCCCGTCGGCACCATCCTGTCCGTCGCCATGATGCTGCGCTACTCGCTGCAGCTGCCTGCCGACGCGGTGGCTGTCGAGCAGGCTGTCAAGGCCGCTCTGGACAGCGGCATCCGCACCAAGGACCTGCACGGTACGGCCAGCACATCGGAGATGGGCGATGCCGTCGTGGCTGCCCTCGAGAAGGTGTACAAGAACTAAAGTAATACCAATGAGGGGAATAAAAAGGGCGACCTCTGTTTTGTATTGCAACGGAGGGCTTGAGCAAAAGGAAGTAAAAGTAACAAGTCAAGCTCAAAATGGATCGGAAGATATGAACCCATAGATTGAGCGAGCATAAAAATGAAGGCATGCAACAATCAAATTCGACGTTATATTGTAGGGTTGACTTGTGGATGTGAAAGCTTTAAATTAAGATTAGAAATATGAGGCTGCCTTTCATATTTAATTGTCTTTTTTTTTAAAAAAAAAATTAATTAATAAACAACGTAAGCAAAATCAACGTCAATTTTCAATAAAATTTATAAATGTTTTAAGAAATGTATAAGAAATAGAAATGTATTTTTAATTTCCAACGATAATAAAGACATGTCGTACATACATAAAATATATAATTTGTCCTGTATTTCGTAGTCATATCCAAGAAAATGCTTTTAAAATGGCGAAAAATATCCAAATATGCCAAAGAAAAGACGTAACCAGGTCATTACATCGTGTGCTGTCAGATCGTGAATAATTGAAGTCATGTACAGAAAACATAGTGTGCTGGCAGCTCATGTGGTCGTTGTGCGTGTACCGTATCCAATTTCGTTATTCGTATCAATTTTTTTTTTTGGTTACTTGTTAGAGTTTCCTAACCGGCCGTCATAAGTGTTATTTTGTGGCATCTTTCTCTTACCCGCTCACCTATATCGAGTCCCAGCGCTTCGTGTCCATGCTGTTGAGACCGGTCCGCTTCTCCCGCAACGACGTCACGACGCGGCGCTCGAGGTCGGGCAGCGTCGTTGAGACTTCGGCCTCTTCTGCGGCAAACTTCTTTTCGCGGGTTCGGTCCCACCAGAAGAGGGCGGCCAGCACGACAAGAGTCAGCGGGATGGTGATGGCAAAGTAGATCCACAGCGTCGGAGCCACGCTAGGCGAGTCGTCGTCGCCACCACCGCTGCCGCCGCCGCCGTTGCCCCCGACCTGGAAGTTGAAGAAGGTCATGGAGAACAGGGACGCCAGGTACGTAGCCGGCAAAAAGACGGCGCCGACAATGGAGAGTGCCTTCATGCTCTGGTTGTCGCGCTTGGAGGCGAGGGCGAGGAGCCGCTGGTGCTGGGCCATTTCCAAGTTGAGCTTCGACTCCTTTTGGACAATAATGTTGTAGAGCTGGAGAAGACAGTTAGCATGTGAAGAGGAATTATGCCCCTAGTCATGGAAGTCGGGAGTAGACAAGACGTACTGCACCTCGTTGGATGTCGAGCCGGGAGATGGTCGTATGTGCATAGTGCCGGATGCCCTTGAGCTTCTGCCGGAAAAAGTCGAAGCGGCTCAGCATGCTGCGGTGCAACTTGTCGAGCGCCACCTCAGTGGCCGGGTCCCCGAGGTGCGCAAACAGCTGGCCGTCGCGCAGCAGGCGCTCGCGTGCGTCCCGGAACTTGGTCATGGCCTTTTCAATCTCGTCGAGTGTGTCCACGTACGCCTGCGGGCGCTTCCACAGGACCTGGCTGTGGCACTCGACCAGCTCCCGGTTCATCTCGTCGAGGTCAAAGTTGGAGTAGCGCTCGGAGGCGTCAATCTCGTTGCGGTCGGTAATGGCATGCTCCAAGCGTCGCAGCCAGTGGCGCGCCTTGCGCTGCTTGTCGTCCATGGTGCTGTCGAGGTCGTGGCCCAGCAGGATCGTAGGAAAGATGAGCGGGTGCGCGATGTGAAGGGCGCAGGCGCGCAGGTGCTGGTCGACAATCTTCTCGAGCTGGCTGGATTCGGTGCCTTTGGCGTAGCCTGTCGTAATGGCCGAGCGGAAGTTGTGGCTCAGCATGAGCTCCCAGCCGCGGGTCAGACCCTTTTTGCGAACGTCGGATTTGCGGAAGATAATTTGCAGGTGAGGGTTGGCGTCGTCCTGGTCGAGGGCGGCCCAGAAGAAGGGTCCCACGATGCTGGTGCCTTCGATGGCACGGAAGGGCAGGCTGAGCTTGCGGACCATGGCGATGTATTCGTTGTGCGTATAGGAGATGTAGTTTGCGGTAAACGTCTCGGGGTGTTGTGCGCCGAGTTGCAGACTGGGGGCCGTCGCGTCAGACGGTGAACGAGAGCATGAGCAGAGTTCAAGGGAGAAGCAGGTGACCTACATAAGCCGCATGCCGCTGACGATGCTCGCGCCATCCTTTTTCTTCGGAGGCTCGAAGACGCCCTTGACCTGCGTTAGCACAAGATACGAGGCAACTGCGGGAGGGCCCGACCCGACATCGCCATACCTTCCGCTCTAAAAAGTTCTGGAACTCGCTCATGGGCAATGCGCCCTTGTCATAGTAGACCTCGCCATTCTATGTGGGAGACAATGCATTGTTAGCTGAAAAGTGACCAAGATGACGAGGTCACAAGAGCGGTTCGGTCGTGGGCAAATGACTGACAGAAAAGTTGTAGATCTCCAGGAAACTTGAGTTCTCGGAGATTTCTTTGCAGGACCGGACATGATTTTCAAAAAAGTAGTCGTCCATCGTTAACTGGGTAGTTGTGAAGGTTGTATCGTCAAGGTGTTTGGTGGCAGCCGAAAAGCTACATCACACTCTTCTGGCCAGCTGTGACTGTACGTGTCGTAAAGAAAGAAATTGAGAGGCACGCGCAAGATGCGCTACAGCTTCCTGGGCACTGCGGAAAAAGGAAAGAAATAAGGCGAACCACAGTTCTCAATGATAAACGGCCGAACTCTTGGACCGTAAATCAGAGGAAAGCCCAAACCAAATGACGAGAAATGCAAGCGGAAAACGAGAACAAAGTCAAGTTGAATACGTCGTAATGGGCGAGATGGATTCAAGGAAAAGAAGAAAATGATAAAAATGAGGTGGGAAATAAAGATCCTCGAAACTGATTAGAAAGAGATAGAAGCCATCCCCATAAGGAGCCAAGACAGGGTCTGGCCTGGCTGGCCAAAGCTTCTTTTCGACCACCCTGACAAACTCTCCACTCCCTAGACCTTGCCGCGTTCAGCGGGCATCGCATCCGCAATCTAGTGTTCTGCAGGCATCGTCCAACGTGTTGCAGAAACGATGCGACGCCGGACCTTGGCGCAGCGTCCGCTGTGTGATTTCTCTCCACCGTATGATATACGGAATATTACTCCGTACTTGTTCGGAAGAGCCGCCTTCAACTTGGCGGGCTTTGCAGCCCCGACACAGTCTCTCGACTGACTCCCATCAGCGAATGCGTCAGTGCTTGCGCCATGGCTGCCTCCTGTAATGTTTCCTTCCTGCAAGAACAGATCCGTGCAGGTCGGCCTGCAAGTGCATGCAGGTTAACCCACCCTCTGCGCCACTGCCACTGCAACTTGGGCTCCCTCCTTCTGGGGCCGTTGAGAGCCGCCCTGATTGGCGCGGGCTCGACACAGCGACAGGAAACACGACAGAGGCCACGCAGAAGCTGATTATGGGTATCTGCAAACTTTCCTCCGAATGTACGGCCGGGAGTGGTCGCCGCTGTGGGGCAAGCGAAAACGGTGCATGGCAAGGTATTGAAAGAGGCTGGCGTCCGCCCGTCTGGCAGACGTTTTTGTTGACCACGAGGCTGGTATTTCAATCGGTGTGGAGGCCCAATCGAGAATATGGTTCTCAAATGAATATAACCTGTATGAAAACAATAAGAAGCGAGTTTTGTCACCTTCGTTTCTATCGCTGGTTATGAGCGATTCTGGCGAGTTGGCGGCAGCTTCGTTTTCGTTGTCCCTAGACTCTCCACACATCAGAAATTGGAATAAACACCCCCTGCTTGTGGGTGAATGCACTGTATGAACTTCTGCTTTGGCAACTGTTGGCCTTTCTGTTGGCCTTTCAAGTAGCCACAGCCAGAACTGTACCTGCGCACTATCCAACGTGGGCCAGATCGTCTAACGAAATGTTCCTCTCTCTTGAAAACACCAGCCTCGGCACGGTCGCCAGCCGGATTGCGAGCAAAAAAGATACTGTAATTATGGGGGCATACTCCAACCCCCCCCCNCCCNCCACCACACA